GGGCAAAGAGGCAGCTTGCGTCGGGAACGCGTGCGAGCTCGCCATTCGTCGCTTGGCTTTTGAGCGTAGATGCGGGGACCGTGATTAGCTGATCGAGACCTCGAGAACCCGCATCGGTAAGCCTTTGAGAAAGTGCATAGTCGGCCAGGCACGACCCGCTACAGCCCAACCTCACGACCTGTTGATTAGAGGTCCAATGCCGGGCTGGCTGATCACTATTCATGAATCAAAAATGGCCACTCTAGTCTCCTTAGTCTTTGTCAGCAATGTTCATCCGCCTATAGAGAATGACTTAGTTCCAATAATCGGGAGTATTATCGACGCCAATAAGTCCCCGGTAATCTCATACTGTAAGCCTTGTGGGTATTTACTGACAGGTTGGAGTTGAAGTGTTCGGTTGGACGGCGTATCTACACTTCAGTGGAATCCTAATATGCTAAATGTTGCCCTTGCATCGCTTTAACAGGGAAAACTCCTCGAAGAATAGTTTGCCACATTTTATCCGCCTGCGGCACAGTCGCAAGGCGTGTTGCACACAAGTAATCTTATAATTTCTGCTGCCGGTCAGTAGAGTTGGCAGCTGAGGAGGTTGACGGGCGTCGGCGCTGATAGTGGTGAAGAAATCGGATTATCGGAGTGGCTGGTATAGGATCACGAGACGTGATCTGATGCCCTGCGTTTTGGGTAGAGCAGTCGCCCCACGAGGTTACTCTTGGCGACAAAGGCGATTACAGCGTATTGGCGCGAGAAGAGTTTTGTATCCCGCACCCGTTTCATTCCGTATGCCTTGGCGGAAGAAGTAGGTCTCACTGAAAGCCACAATCCCCATCTCCTCAACAACAGTTGTCGATAGAAGCGAATATTCGACTTTAAGGAAGTAGTTCAGAAGAAGATGCTATCAAGAATTTCATTTTCCTGACGCTTCGGATTCTCTCGACAGAATCCTTAATCATGGGTAGCCGCAGAATGGCGTGAGAAATGCGCAGATTGGGGTGATACATGCACAGATTTCGCGGTATTTATAGTTCGTAGCGACCATCCGCATGTGTACTATAATTATCAGTTCCTGTAACCACCGCTTGGAGTCTTAATTGCTGTGCTTTTGGCTTGGCAGTTCGCTTTCACCGCATCAATTACGATCCCAAGTGGTTTTTACTGGAGCTGATATTTATAGTACGCATGCGGATGGCGGCTACGAACTTTAAATACCGCGGTTGTCTAGTTGAGAGAGAGAGAGAAAACATTTCAGTCGGCCAGAGTGAACAGGGCTACTCTGGCAGAACGGGGAAGCAGGAAGATGTGGGCGGGGATTGCTGTTTTGTGAAATTTTTCGACTGTGTTTTCAAAGTTCACAGTTAGCTTCCCCTTGGCGTGATATCAGCCTTATTTAAGCAATATTTCTAAACTCATTCTCCCCCCCTTCCTGAGTTGGTAAGTAATGTACTCCTACATGAAGACACCTCGACCGTCGGTTTGGACAAGGTCCGCCGTGTGCTCCACAGCAGGGTGGCGCAGGGACGGTGACTTGCGATTTATTGCAACTGAAGTAGACTTAACTCTCGAACAAGTGCACTCCAGCCATGAGCGAGCCGGATCCGGAAATGTCTGGGCGTATATAGTCATCGCAATAAGGTTCTTTGTGCACCGGCCGTGGAAAGTGATTGACCAGTTAGGACAGACAGAGGGTGAATACACGTCCATGACCTTAACTGGAGGTTTGACAACGTCTGCTGCGCACATGCTGGTGGACACGAGAAACAGACATGCGGCCTGCCCTAGAGGTGTGCGAGAGAGGCATGGCTTAGAATACATGGTCACTACAGGAGCACTTCTAACGGCACCTGAAGGGTTTACTAACGTAGGCAGGCTTGCAGTTGGAGGCACAAATATCCAAACCCGTCCAAATATTCTACTCTTATTCCCCAGTCAGCTAGATTTATTATACGCCTAGACGAAAAGTAATATGACCTGGTACAGGTGCTTGTGACCTAGTAACGAATGCCAGAATGGGCATTCCAGTCTCCCTTGTCTGTGACTGGACTCAAATGGCCCTCCTGGCTGGTTCTTTGCTCTCCGAGTCAAATCTCTTTCCATCCATTCTTCGTTCCTCTGTGTACACAATATACTGTTCCTACTACTCTGGCCTTTCCCAAGACTTTTCCTCTACTAAGTAGCGAAGGTCTGAAGATCGCAGTTGCTCGGGTTTAACTCACTTAACCCCCTGCGATAAGACCTCTAAAGTGTGCAAAAGCCTCCTCGTGGGATCCGAACATCGTCTGTCAGTTTCAATCAATCAGGGCAAATTATGGCGGCATAGGCCAAAGACACCTCATGGCGCATGTTTGCGGATTGAGTGACGCGTCGTTTTTTGGCGAGGGCTTCACCCCTCACGGTTTTGGCTTGCCATTTGCATGACTCCTGACTATCGTAGTCGTCGTTTGTGATAATTAGATTGCGAGGATGTGGATACTCGTTGGTGCATGTAGGCGGTCGTGGGAAAGTGTGCACCTTTTCCATCTCCATACGATGCTGCAATTAAATTTCCTTGTAATTGGCTGGATCCAAGGTCAAAGAGGTAACTACATCCTCATTATTTTCTATAACAATTTAATTTGTGTAAAGTGGTGAACCATCACACTAGCATCTCGGTGCATATTTTAGGAGCAGCCTACTTCTCAGGCCTGTTTTAGTCAACCCTGTTCAGAGGGAATTTGTCTCGCGAGTTCGTTATCCTTAGAGAGACACACATACATTAGCGAGGACCATGACATGTTACCCGAAATTCTAAGGTGTGATTTAAATTACGAAGAATAAATTTCTTGGAGTTACAATATTTATCATCGTGCGGCATCATCCCGGTATATTTCACACACGCCATTATACGGTTTTTCTAATACGAGCCTGCAAAAAAGTCACTTGGGAAAAAGGATTAAAATTCATTCTAGAAGAAGAACAGTCCGGATCGTTCCCATTTCTCGATTTACTCTTGAGTAAAAGGTCTCACGGGAGTACTTAACATAGAGTCCATCGTAAGAAGTGGTCCGGGCAATATAACCACTTCGCTAGTTTCGTACAGTTAAACTTCAATCTAATTTTGTACGACGTTCGACGCAAAGGGGGAAAAGACTCTGATTGACTAATAGCATCGAAGAAGAGCTTTAGATTGTAGAGGTCGCTTTTCGACCAAATGGGCATCCTAGTCGATTTATTGCCAAGAACCTAGTGGAAAGGCTGTCAAAGCCCGCGGTGGTAACAACAGAGGAGAAAATAATTTTCATCAAGGCCCATTTCAAGGGGACGTGCCAAGCGAACTTCTAAGAAGGCGCCTGAGTCGAGCTGAGTCAAACACCTTTCCAACAGCCAACG